ATTATTGTCAATATTAAATATGACAAAATCTTATGTAAATTCTGCATCAATAAGGTGTTCCGAATGCAAAAATCAAGGCGAATTTGACTTTCAATGTTTTATGTATGAATGTCTCAATATTAAAAAAGATAATGATCTTTTATGCGACCATTGTATATGTCAAAATTTTCGTCAAAAGCAACTTTTGTGCAAATCTTGCAACCCAAGTGGAATTGGGATATGCAATGAATGCCGTGAATTTCAAAATCATACTACAAGTATTCAAGTGTGCAAACCCTGTAAACTAAAAAATGTATCAACGGGAAATAAAAGCTTAGATGAATTCATAAAAAAAACATTGCAAAATTCAGATCGTGCTTTAGATCGCATAGAGTGGATTGATATTAAACAATTCTCGGATATATACTTCTTGGCAGAAGGAGGATTTTCTAATGTCTATTCGGCTAAATGGAATGAAGGTCCACTAAAATATGATAGTGGATATCAAGACCTTCAAAATATAACTAAACGATATTGGCATGACAGTGACTTGGCAATGAAAATGATTCGACAAGCAAACACTAAGGTCGTCTTAAAATTGATAAAAAATTCTAAAAACTTGTCAAAAGAATTTTTGGATGAAGTAAGAAATTTTCATTCTTATCATTATAGCTCACAATTTTACGAGGAGCTTTAGTTAAAATTTATTATCTTACATAATGCAGCTTGAAGCTCATTATAAATGTATAGGAATGAACGATAAAGGCTTAACTTGTTATGGAGTAACTTTTTTTCCAGAAAAAAATGAATATGCCTTAGTATTAAAGTACGCAGAAAAAGGCAACATTAGACAATATATACAAAAAGAACACAAAAATTTATCTTGGTATCGGCGAGTTCAATTGTTGGAAGGAATAGTTTCTAATCTACGACTTATACACTCAAAAGGTTTTATTCATGGTGATCTTCATAGTGGAAATGTGCTCAAAGGAAAATTGGTCTTACAAAGTTATATTAGTGACCTTGGACTATCACGACCTGCTAACGATCCAAAACTAGTAAATGGACAATATGGCGTACTGCCTTACATGGCACCTGAATTGTTTTGCGGTCAGTCATATACAAAGTCAGCAGATATTTACGCAATTGGAATTATTATGTCTGAAATTGCCTCTGGAGGAGAATATCCATTTGGTGATCGTAGTCATGATGCACATCTTCAATTAGATATTTGTGATGGTCTCAGACCGAAGATCACCTACGACATACCGAAATGCTGGAAGAATTTGATGGAAAAATGTTGGCATCAAGATCCAACAATGCGACCTGATGTTAATCAACTTTGGAAACAAGTTAGAAAAATAAGAAGTCATGGTTCAAAGTGGATATTTGACGATATTGACAAACTATCTGATTCATTTACACATGCCCAA